TAGGACTCATGTCATAGTGCTTCTCAGAGGTCCAGGAAAGTGAGAAGAAGAGCAGGAGTAAGAAAGGAAGCAACAGGTCATAAACCAAGCCTGAGCATCCCCACTCAGAATGAACCCCATGGCTCCTGGTCTTTGGCAGATTCATTCAGCTCTTATGCATCTTAATCCCAAACCCTGTCAGAGCCAAGCCCATGCTAAAACTTCTTCAGGAAAGCTGAGCCAGCCTGACGGCGGATTCATCTGTGCTCCCTTACTCCTGGGCCTGGGGCTACCTCCAAAAGTATAAAATATAGAAACAGAAAGAAGTAGGATAGAAGTAAAAATGACTTCATATGCATTCCATCTTAGTCACTTAATTGATGTGGGGCCTGGAGAAAGGCACTTTCCTTCTCTGAGCCTTGTGTAAAATGAAGAAGACAGAGGTCCCCAAGGTTCTTTCTAGCTATAATATTTGATGGTGCAAATGATGATGATGATGATGATGATCAATAACTACGATTCTCTTGCTTATGCCCAGTTCCCTTTCCTACTGTCTTAGTTTAGATTCTTCTTACCCTTTAAATGGGACTGTCAAACGGCCTCAAACCAGACCTCACTGTATCTGTTTCCTCTCATTTCCAATACCTCACGATCAGCCCTGCCCTGCTGATTATGAAGTTGAACCTTGATACCGGTCCACCTTGTAAGTCTTCAACGGTGTCAAATGGGCTACAAAATAAAAGGCAAATACCCTGGTTTGACAATCAAGCATATCCAGAGCTCACGTCCCTTCATTTCACCACCTTATGACAGCACAGTGATGCAAAGCAAGGACTCTATATCATGAGATAAAATAGGTTCAAACTCCAGCCCTCCCCACCCGTTACCAACTGTGGGATGTGAACAAAATAGTATGAGGGTGAACCTAGCTATGTCATGGGATTATTTTAAGGATAAAATAAGCTAAATCGTGTGCTTCCCACCAACTCACACCTCTTAGCTTTTTCCTATTAAAGCGCTTCGTTCTATTTTACTGCAATACTAAATTAAGAGCTTATTAGAAGTTAGAATCTCAAATTAGACACAGTAAGGGTATGGATGGGGACGGATCTAACTGCAGGTGACACATAGCAAGTCCTTGATATGTGTTTGTAGAATGAACAAAAGATGAGCTTATGCTCTAGAAGCCAAACAGCTAGTTGCCCAGTTACCAGAAATCAGAGCATCAAGGAACCTCAAGGCAAGATGAGTGAGTTGATGCTAAAGACCGCTGGACTTGAACTCTAGAAATCTCCCTGCTTCGGGGTAACAGGCTACATTGGGAGACCTAGAAATCAGCTATTGTAAGTGGAAGTTGGAGTTCTGGGCTGAAGAATTCAAATGTTGCTTCTCTGGCCCCTGAACTTGAACATGGATCCCCAGCATGTCGAACATCAACCAACAGAAGTACAAGGCAAAGTCAGCAATACAGCATTTAGCTTTCAGCCTATTACACCAATTACATTGATCTCTTCTGAACTGCATTTCCCACTGCTGTTTACCAACTTGGGAGGAGAAAAATCAATGGTGGCAACTCGTTTGGGTAGCAGCTGCCGAGAAAAGGAGCCGGCTGCTACCGCAGAAGGAGTCAAGCTGCCTGGGGACAGACACTGAGCATGTTCTCCAGGTCTCTTGCTTTAAATTTTCATTAGTCATCTTATAATGAGACACTATGGGTTCTATTTTTTTCTTGTAGATAATGAACATTTTAATTTTTTTACAGTCAACAAATTGCATTACTTCTGCAATTAAAAAATAGAATATTTTTAAATACTAATAATAAAATGCAAGTGGAATAATGTCCCTTTATACTTAAAACTCTTCAAAAGATTCATATTACTGTCACAATAAAATCTGAATTTCTCGGGATGGTTTGCAAGACCCTTTCTGCTTTCTCCCACTCCTCTCCTTCATCATTTACCTGTCAGTCTTTCCACCCTTTTATTTTGCCTCAAGACCTTCATAAATGTACTTCCGAGTGACTGAGATGCTTTTCCTCTTTGGTTCAACCTCTGGTCTCACTTTAAACATTGCTTCTTCCTGGACACTTCTTTGACCTCCAGCCCTGCATCTAGATGCAGAACACCTGTTTTCTGTAGTCCCAGCACCATACATAGCCCCCACCAAAGCCCTTACCTCAGCATGGTACCAACATTACCCTATAGACTCTGTAACTGAATAAATAGACCTTTCTTTTTCTCAGAAGATTCCCCAGGATGTAGAACAGTGCCTGGCACTTAGTAGATGCTAAGTTAAGTGTTCTTAAGTAAAATGAAACTCATGACACTCAGCTATTGGATTGGGTAGGTTCTTAGAGACCATCTCACCTAATTTCTAACAATGAGGTCTAGAGAAACAGAGCCAGATTCTAATACCAAGTCCTTTCCTGAAATGCTACATGACCTTAGATAAGGCCTTCCCCCTCAGGGTCTCAGTGTCTTCAGCTATCAAAGGATGAAAGCCCATTCTGCTCCAACCTGTTTGATTTTTTCTGCTTCCCCTTCTCCTGGGTCTGGGCAGCTGATAGGCACACTGACTGGGACAGTAGGAAGGATGGAGCAAGAGAAACTAAATCTGCTACATCCCTTCAAATTGCTGCCAAACAAGTTGAGGAAATAAGTCACACACAGGGAGCAAGTGTTCAGCTAAATGCTTCTGGTGATTCCCTCCTCCTAGGAGATCAGATAGGGAAAAAAAAAAAAAAAAAAAGCCTACAGGTGCCAGGGCATCCAGGTTCCTGCAGGAGATAAGGTTTAAGCCGAACAGGCAGAATTTGCCCAAACAATGAGGACAAGAGAGGGTGTCCCCAGCAAGAATCGACTCCCTGCGCCCATGTGAGGTCAGGTGGGAGTACTCACTAAAGGGTTCCATCCACGCCAATTCTGATCCCAAACCTGCGACTCACTCACCCCACGCTTCGACACTTTCTCCACCTTTCCAAACCTGCTTCCTTACCCTCGTGGCGGGAATCTGAATGTTTGCTTGCAAAGATTTTGTGAGAATTAAATGTGTGTGACAGTATCTAGAACAGCGCCTGGTGCCTAACAGACCATTTTAAGAAATGTCACTTTCTTTTCTTCCTTCCAGCTACATAAACAGTCTTGACATGTCACTGGCAGGAACATCAAAAGTACAGCAGGGGTTTGGGGACTGAAGACTCTTTTTGCCGAACCATTTATATTCTGTTCACTCTGATGGGACTTTTCCCGTTCCTCATCACTCCTCATCATAACACACACGTACACACACACACACACACACACACACACACCATGTAAAACCGCAGGGGCAGGGAGAGGGGCTGTTTCCAACCCCATGGTCAGGTGGGGCCAGATTCAGAGGTGTCCATTATCATCAGCAAAAAAACACAAAGTACCTACATCTAGGCCTGGCCTCAAGTTCTCCCTCCACCACGGGACTTATAAGACACGAGATTATGAGACCAAATGTCACTTTCTATGGGGCTGGAGGGAGAGCCTTTGATTAAATTAGAGGAAAAGCCTATAAAATACCTTGGAACATTTTATGAAGTTATTGATATTTCTGCAGGCAAACAGTGAGGCATGTGCTGAGGGAGGAATCAGGCAGGGGTGAGGGCCACAGTGGGGAGGTTGTTAGCCCTCCCCCATAATGATGAACTGAAACTAATGAGGATTTAGAAGCAGCACACCAAAAGAACCACATAGTATGACCTCATGCATACATCACCCTCAGAAAAAGAGCAATAGCGGCCCTCATGTGTGAACATTATTTCTTTCTTTTTTCTGGGGGGGGGGGTTGGAGATGCAGAGATTGAACCCCCAGCCTTGCACATGTTAGGCAAGATCTCTAACCCTGAGCCACATCCCCAACCCTTGACATTATTTCTTGAAGGAAAGAATATAAAGTTGGACTTAAATGAGGTTATTAATTTTGGGGATATAAGGGCGGTGGTGAACTCAGGAGGCTGAGGCAGGAGGATTGCCAGTTCAAAGCCAGCCTCAGCAACTTAGCAGGGCCCTAAACAACTTAGTGAGACCCTGTCTCTAAATAAAATATTTTTATTTTATTTAGAGTGCTGTGGATATGGCTCAGTGGTTAAGCACACCAGGGTTCAATCTCTGGTATCAAAAAAAAAAAAAAAAAAAAAAGTCGTAAGGGGAACTATAGGACCTTTTGAGAATCCAACACAGAATCTGTGCCCTTCTTCCTTGGGAAACCCCAAATTCTATTTGTAGTGCCACATGATCCATGGTACATGAATCACTGACAAAATACAGAAGTTTTCCTAATGAAAGATTTAATCTCATTACCCAGATTTCTGCCACTGAGACCAACACACACTATTTATTGCCTCCTCTAGTAGTGAATGGAAACTAAACGGACTCTTTTCAGCTCCACCAGGATCAGCAGGGACAGTTAAGCCCTCAGCAGAGAGTTGGGTCATGTGGGGTCCAAAGAAGTTACAGTGCTTAAATGATACAGCTTGATCTGTAATGTATCATTTCTCTTATCCAAAAAAACATGAAGGAAACATGACAAAAGAGGATGATGAAAACAGGTGTATATTACATTAGTCTTTAAACCTTTTAAATTTTTTTTTAGTTATCAATAGACCTTTATGTTATTTATTTATTTATATGTGGTACTGAGAATCAAACCCACTGCTTCACACATGCTAAGCAAGCGCTCTACCACTGAACCACAATCCCAGCCCCAAAACCTTTTAAAATTTTTAAGAGAAATAATAAAATTTAAATAACCTCAGTTCAGAGTCGAGTATACTTAGCCAGGTATTGAGAGAATTGTCTGGAGTCATTCCAACTCTCAAGATCCCTGAGGCACAGACTTTTACTTCTTACCCCATGTAAGATGCAACCAGACTCCAATAATGTCCCCCAAGAGGGATTTTTGGGGAAACCCTGGCTGAAAGGTGACAGCCCTCTGAGAGTTGGCGTCCCCTGGCCTGACCCTGCCTCCTCTTCCTTGTTTCCTGGCTACAGGACTATAGGGTCAACATCTTTCTGCGGCAACAGTGGAACGACCCCCGTCTGGCCTATAATGAATACCCCGATGACTCTCTGGACCTGGACCCATCCATGCTGGATTCCATCTGGAAACCTGACCTGTTCTTTGCCAACGAGAAGGGGGCCCACTTCCACGAGATCACCACAGACAACAAACTGCTGAGAATCTCCCGGAATGGCAATGTCCTCTACAGCATCAGGTGAGTTCCCTACAGATCCGTCCACTCCCTCCTGAGAACGTGCCTTTGCCCACTGCCCTCCGGAAGCAGGCACCAGTGTGGGGGTCCGACAGAGAAGAACAGGCCCTGCAACTCAACCCCTCTGCAGCATAGGCATGGCCGGCTTGTAACCTAAGCTCAGTGAGTAAGAACAAAACACCACGTGGAGTCCCAGGGGCAAGTGGTTCACATAACCAAGGAGATCAGGGAAGGGATCCTAGAGAAGGTGTTGTTAAAGTAACCCAGCATTTCAACAGAACAAGAAAGAGGAGTTAAATACGATCGTCATTGGCAGAAGCAATGGCACAAAGCCTGAAAAATCATAGCAACCAGGAAGTTGGTGGCCTGCCGGGTGGATGATCTTGCCACAAGCTCGGGCAGGGCCGCTCTGTCCTCTGTAAACCCCCTTCCCACAGAGCTGGCACTCAAGAGGCTAGACCCCCTTCCTCAGCTGCGGGGTATTCTGAAGACACTGGATAGGGGCAAAGCTTTCAGAGTGTCCTGCCACTCCTCCCCACCTAGTCCCAAATCTCCTCCCCCAAGGTATGGGGACACTGACCAATGGCCAAGAGGTAAAGACATGGCCTGACACATGCAAAAATAATAAGTACCATTCATTGAGAATTTACTCACTGTGCTAAGTATTTTTTATGGATCTAATCCTTTCCACAACTGTATGAAATAGGTTTTATTACACCCATTTTGCAGATGAGGCAATTGAGGGTCTGAAAAATTCAGATAACATGCCTAAATTCCCACAGTTAGTTCATCACAGAACCCAGATTCCCACCTGGGCTAATCCCAAAGCCTACAGCAGGGAATGGTATTCAATAGGTACTTAAATATTCAAAGAATAAATATGTGTTTATTTCAAAGTAGTTTAAAGGACACTGGTCAGAAATGACCCGCCCTCCCGCTTCAGTTCTTCAGGGGAATGGACCTTATTTCTATTGGGAGATGAGCCTACAAGGTCAGGCCTGTGGGAGAGGTCACACCTAACCCTCAGGTGCAACTAGACCCAGTTTCCCATGGGATAGGTGGGGAGGGGGTTCGAGGAACCCACCCCCCAGGGGCAGGCTCACCTCCCTCAGCGCCATATGCATGCAGAGGGGGAGAGCCATGGGTTTTTAGAAAATGGTTGGTGAGGCCCTGGCAGGCTGCGGGAGGAGAGGGCCACCCTGCTTGGGTTTTGCTGCTGCCAGGCTAGTTTCCTATCTCCAGGAAGCTAAGTCCCAGTGCTGCATGACAGAAGGACAAATCAGCAGAAAGTGATGTTCCCAAGGTCATTCAACTTCAGGAAATTAACCCAGTGTGACAGCTGCCCCACTTTGGAGCTTTTTATCTTCAGAATTCCACTGCATTCCCTTTCCCTTTGTTTTTCCCCTCCTTTCCCCACTTCCTCCTTTCCCCCCTTCCTCCCCTCCCTTTTCCTTCCCTGCTTCTCCTTTGTACTTGAAGGCACCCACATGCAGAGCTGTGGGTGTGAGCTGGAGGGAGAAGATTCACAAAGGGCCGTTTTCCCCATGCACAGCTGAGATGCCAACAGCTAAGTCTCCCCAGAACAGCATCAGTTAGGCATCTTGGGGTGTGACGGGGAACATTGCAGGACAGCGCTGCAGGAAAACCAGCCAGCAACACAAGAGCCAACCCCACTGGTAGTCTGAGTCCAAAGGCTCAGAGACATGGTTTTGCCTCCTGGCTGAGCCATCAGCTTGCTCTGCAACCTTAGATAAGTCCCAATCTATTCTCCCCTGCACCCCAGTGTCCCCACCTGTCAGAAGAGGGAGTTGGCCTGGTGATCTGAGAGCTTTTCTTCCTTGCCACCTGCAGTGGGCGTTTTGATGTTGGCAAAGCCTTTCCAGCGGAAGTCTCATATCCCAGCCCCAGCCACAGGCGTCCATTCCCCTGAGGGGGGAAAGCCTGCAGCCCTGGCAAAGGTTGAACAACCCGAAATAAATAGCTAGCCCAGAATCCTGGGGATGGTGCCGACTGCCACCTGACCCTGGCAGAAGCCCACAGATGTGTCAGCTGGGTGTGAACCTTCAGCAGACAGGGGCCCTCTTTGAAATAACTTCTAAGGAGCCCAGCATGTGAGGGGAGGCAGTCAGGATCCACTTACAGCCCCTGGGAGGATGCCTGAACCTGGTACAGCTCCATTGATAACTTGGACTCTGTCTCTACCTGAGGACTCTTCAGAAGAGTCAGAATAGGAGCCCCTGACCTCCAGGCAGCCTATTAAAGATGGGTCTCTAGAAGCTAGACAGACTCCAAAGAAACCTGTAAGTTCCTCTGACTCCGAGTTACTTTAGACAAGCTACTTGGCCTCTCTAAGCCTCTACTTCCATATAAGGAACTTCGAAATATGCATACATTTATTCAATGAACACTAGTTTTTTGATCTTCTTTCCCTGTCCGGAATAATTGCTTTTCTGCTAGTAACTAGGATGGAGATGTAATCTCTCTGAATATGGATTCAGTATCATTTAACTCCCTGTCTTCCTAGAATCACTCTGACACTGGCCTGCCCCATGGACTTGAAGAATTTCCCCATGGATGTCCAGACCTGTATCATGCAACTGGAAAGCTGTGAGTCCTTTGCATGAGTCCTTTCTAGAGAACCAGGCTCCCATTTACCAAAAAAAAAAAAAAAAAACACTGTAAAAACTCAAAATACTACATAAGGGCTTTGCTTGTAGAAAATACACTAGAAATATAACTGCCCTTACCTTCTTCAACCGAGGCCCAAGTTTGGAGTCAACAGCATTCTCCAAACAAGCATTGTTCCATGTCTCTTGTGACTGTGCTTATCAGGAACTGAGGAGAAAGATCTCAAATAGGCCAAGATCCATGAACTCCCAGTGATGTTCACTTCAGCAGAGGAGAGGCAACTGACTGCACAAGTAACTCTTACTAAGGGCAGCCAGTGCTAAAAATGTTGTTAGACATGCAAATGCTGCAGCCACTTGGCAGAGGAGTCTTTTCCTCTACTGGAAGGAGAGGGTATTGGAGGCTTTGTGAAGGACCAGGATTTTAACAGATTGGAAGCAGGTGCGGTGGCCCATGTGTATAAGCCCAATAACTTGGAAGCTGAAGCAGGAGGATCACAAGTTCATGCCCAGCCTGAGCAACTTAGTGAGAATCTTTCAAAATATAAAACTAAGAAGGCCTGGGATATAGCTCGGTGGTAGAGTCCCCCTGGATTCAATCCCCAGTACTGCTAAGAAAGAAAAAAGAAAGAAAACCTGACTTCCTACATTGCAAACATAGAAACCAACTGATTAACTTAAAAGTTCAAGAACCAGAGCACAGCATTTAAGTGTTGGGAACTAATGGACCATTTGCTTGGAGCACCGCCTCCGAGGGGAATCAGTACCAGCCAACTCAGAACCTTCTTTACCTCTCTCAAGAGTCAAAAGTCCTGGGGCAGAGAGTCTGATTAGTCTAGCTGGTGCCACTATTTCATACCTTATCCCCTCCCAGCAGATAGTCCTACCATGAACGTGAACAGTAGAGTCATGCCCCCCCCAAGAAAATCTAGTGCAAGAAAAAGAGGGGGCTGGCCAGGATGGTGTGCAGGCAGAGCAGCAGGTGTCAACTGCTCTGCAGCATGGGGGCAGGGGAGGGCACCAGGACAAGCTAAGGCACAACATGGAGGAAGGAGTGGGGGAGGGTTGTGGGGGAGGTATAAACAAAGTTTTGCCCTCCTTTGTGAGAAAGAGAAGGCTGCATGATCCCGTGAGTTCCATCGAGTGACTGATGGCTCGCCCAGCCTCTAACCCTAACCCCAACGCGCTTCTAACAAGTGACCCTAGGTGATCACTGCCGCTTCTTCTCATCCCATCCCAGTTGGATACACCATGAATGACCTCATCTTTGAGTGGCAGGAGCAAGGAGCTGTACAGGTGGCAGATGGACTAACCCTGCCCCAGTTTATCCTGAAGGAAGAGAAGGACCTGAGATATTGCACCAAGCATTACAACACAGGTAGGTATGCGGGGTTGCTGTCCTCAGATCCCACCCCCAACCAGGACCAGAGGTCATCTCAAATGCTCATATTCTATCACTGATTCTAAGTGCTTGTACAGTGCCCGTGGTGCACACAGATCTGTATTTATCACCTAGTGGTTAAGAGAACAGGTTTTGAAACCAAAAAGTGGTTCTGAAATTTTCTCCCCGTGAGTCCTGGGGTAAGTAACTTAAGTTTAGGCCATACCTAATTACAAGGGAAGCTGGTAAAAACAGTCTTTATTCGAGGTAGCAGAATGGATCCCGTTCCTAAGGCTGAAGGGAAGAACTCATATTGGGAGGACAGTCCCTATCACCCAGGAATTGGCATTTCTGATAGGGCAAAAGTATAGAGAATACTCATGCGAGACCTAAGCAAGAGGGAGCTACCTTGTAGTAACTAGTTAGAAGGGGTCCACTCACCTGGGAGCCACAGGAAGAGAGGAAAACCACAACTGCTTAGCTCACACCCTGTCTCTCCTTGGCGGGGAGATCGATACGGGAATGAACTGGTGTTGGATCAAGACTGGCTTTGCATGCCCTGTCACAGACTGGGGGAGAGCTCACGGAAGTGCTGTGGGGGACAATCAGTGAACTGGCATGCCAGCTGGCAGGCTGGTGGGGAGCTGCTGTCTGAACCCAGCTGAGAGGAAAGGTATTGACTGGTGGCAGGTCACAGAGAAGAAGGGGTGAAGGGGAGGAACTGAGAGAAGCCACTCCAGGCTCTGGTGCAAATAGAAATCCCAGTTGAAGAGACAGAAAGCCTGGATTCTGGTCCATCTGGGATCCTCTTCTGGGTCAGCTCAGAGAAGTCTCAGAGCCTCCAAAGGCACTGTCTTCATCCCTGAGCAAGTGAAAGTACAGGACATGCTCACGACAAGGGAGGGAGTGGGGACCAAGGTCAAGGATGGTGATATTGATGATGATGATGATGATGATGATGATGATGATGATGATGATGATGGAGACAAGTAACAATTCCAAGCATTTATAATATCTGAGGATTGTGCTAAGTTCTTCAAAAGCATCATCTCATTTTATCCTCACAATAACCATACGAATAACCACATGAAGTATGTATTACTACTACTACTACTATTACTGCCATCCCTTGGTATCAACAAGGGATTGGTTTCAGGACCCCCACTGGACACCAAAATCCAAGGATGCTGAAGAACTTTATATAAAATGGTGTAGTATTGGCACATAACCTACACCCATCCTCCTGTGTACTTTATCTAAATTACTTGCAATACCTAATACAATGCAAATGTTATGTAAATACATATCATACTTTACCATTTAGGGAATAATAACAAGAAAAAATGTCCATACATGTTCAATATAGATGCTTTTTTTTTCTGAATATTTTCTACCTGCATTTGGTTGAATCCATGAATGTAGAACCTGCTGTTATGGAGGACAAACTGTATTATCCCCAATTAACCACAGATGAGGAAACAGATACAGAGCCATTCATACTCTTGCCGAAGCACACAGCTAATGCGTGGCTGAACCAGAACTCCACTCAAGGCTATTTGACCCCAAACCCTTTGCTCCCGCCCACCAGCCTAACTTGTGTTCTCACTATAATTTCTTACAGGTAAATTCACCTGTATTGAGGCGCGGTTCCACCTGGAGCGGCAGATGGGCTATTATCTGATCCAGATGTATATTCCGAGCCTGCTCATCGTCATCCTCTCATGGATTTCCTTTTGGATAAACATGGATGCAGCACCAGCCCGTGTGGGCCTGGGCATCACCACTGTGCTCACCATGACCACTCAGAGCTCTGGCTCCAGAGCATCCCTGCCCAAGGTCAGTGACACTGCAGAACACCTGCACAGAAAAAGACAGCACTCATCTGCCTAGACTGCCAGAGACATGGGGAGCATATGGAACTTATCAGTAGGTGTTTACCTACCATATGTTCACGGTCCAGTGTTCTAATCCATCCAACCTTGCACCAGGCTCAACATTGCATTCCATACAGGCTGCCAGACACCACCTTCTGCTCCATTCTCTACTATCACTAGACACATACTCTGTTTCATCTACTATTCAAACTCAACTTTGCAAACACACACACACAAAAAAAAAAAAAACAAGGAAAACTAAAACTTGCCAAGTGCAGTGATATATAGCTCCTCCACAGGCTGAGGCAGGAGGATCTCTTGAGCCCAGGAGTTCCAGACCAGCCTGAGCAACAACGTCACAAGACCCTGTCTCCAAAAACCTCAAATTCTTAACTTCGCATTCTCCCCCATGCACATTTAGAGCTAATTACCATATTCTTCTCCTTTCACGGTAAATAGTAAATAGTTGTGTCAGGGGTCTCCAAGACCATCGCCACATTCAGAGAGCTGACAGGACTCAGGACTCAGTATATACCCTTGCACTCCCAGCTAAGATTTATCATAGTAACAAACTAAGGATATATTAATAAATTATAATAACACAAGCAGACACAGGAATCCATGTCTGGCTTCTTAACTCTCTCCGTCCCATAAGGAGTCACAAAGAGCTTACTTATTCAAACAACAAAACTGTAGACGCATGATACATCTGTCCAGAGAGGCAGAGACTCTCTTGGTACTGAGCACCCAAAATTTTAACTGGGGGCTGGTACTTTCTGCCTAACATGTACCAAAATTTCAGACTCCTTGGTGGAAATCAAAAGTTCAGCATAAAGCATGTTCTTGTATAAGCAATTACAGTACAGTGAGCCATGCTCATCAGTTAGGGAAAGTAGGAACAGTCCCCAAATGCAAGATCCCAGACACCAGTCCAGGGTCAACTTTGCAAGCAAGTCCTTCTTAAAAATGACAGACTCATCTATGCTATGGTGAGAGATATCCAAATTGGCATATGCAAATTACCTGCATCACTGCTCTTGTGCCTTAGGGCAATGATTAAGTAAAATAAGCATTACTTGAACACAAGACATCAATATTTTGACTTTCATTCTGATAACCAGGAAAGCTACCAAGTGACCTGTGGATGGGTAACAGAGATAGTATGGATATGCTGCACAAAGGAATGCTTCATATTCTGGACAGGATGGGACAGGATCATGCCAGATTTCATCACACAGTTAAGAACACTGTGCAACTTAAGACTGATAAGTTATTATTTCTGGAACTTTCCATTTAATATTTTAGGAGCATGGTCACATCTGAAACTGTGGAAAATAAAATGGGAGGTAAAGGGGGACTGCTGTTCCACTCTCCTCGGCTCTCACCCCGCTGCGTTTCTCCCTACCCTCGCTCCAGGTATCCTACGTGAAAGCCATTGACATTTGGATGGCAGTTTGCTTGCTCTTCGTGTTCTCAGCCCTGCTAGAGTACGCCGCTGTCAACTTTGTGTCTCGGCAACACAAAGAGCTGCTCCGATTCAGGAGGAAGCGGAGACATCACAAGGTAGGCCTTTGGGTCACTACCTAAGGAGGGACAGCTGGCAGTGGGTGGAAAGTTCCAAGCAGTCTTGTCTTGTGATACCTTTTTTCCCTGGGCTATCCTTCTCATTGGGCCAGGCAAGCAAGAAATAGGAATTAAAGTCCTAGAGATCTTTAGTTTCACGCCCCACACCCCACATAATGACCTAGTTGGGTCAACAGGCGGTCACTCCTACAATCATGATGGCAACCACGCAGAAATTACCAGGTTACCTAAAGGCAGAACTAATGGAGCAAAAGCTGAAGGGTCAAGGTAATAGCTAACTGTATACCTAAAGACGGGAGGGTGGGAGACGTGTGTTGGTTTTTTTCTGCAAGACTACGTTACTTCACTGGGCTTGGTTCCAGAAGGAAACTGTGCTAGAAAAGGCGGGATCTTAAAACAGAATGTCAAGGTTCCAGGTCTTTATTGCCTGTCCCCAGGGAGGGGCCACAAGCAAATCCTCCTCCCAGTGTGGGGATTGAATAAAGGAACTTTTGGCAGGCTGTCTTTTAAAAGTCACCAACATCTGTTAACTCAGAGGTTATTAAATGCCATTGGGGAGAGGGCAGCCTGTTGGATCCAACCACCCCCCGCCCTGGACCATATTGACCTCCCCACAAGACCCTTCTCCTGGGGATCAGAGATTCCACTTCCCTCTCTAGCCTCATCCCTTTGCTGTCTGATCACCAACCACAATAGCTTTTTTCTTAGCTCCTCGTACACAAAGCACATCAGACATCGCATTCTCTCTTCTCTTCTTGCTTTTCCAGTACCAGTACACCACCGCACTTGATATCAACCCACTCCTGTCCAGTTCTCAGCTGCTGAAGGCCTAGGTCCTTTGTTAAGGCTTTCATATAAGGGTATCAGGTGTGTTAGTGCAGTTTGTATCCTACAAGGGCCCTAGCCAAGGAGGGACTCTTCCTAAGCCATGTTCTGGCTTGAGACTTTATCTGAAAGGACTCCAGTTCACATGCCTAGAGAAAGGGACCCCTTTTTTTTCTAATGAGCACAAAGGTGCTGTGTGTGCTAACCAAGGCCATGTTCCAAATGAACTCGATTTCTATCCTTCTAAACATTGTGTTGGTCAATAGTTACACATTCTACCATGTGATTGTTTAATGTCCTTCTCTTAGTCACTGAGTTATAGGCCCATAAGGACAGAGACCACGTCTGGTTCTGCTTAGTACTACATGTCTGGTACCTAACACGGAGCCTGATGTATTATGAACGTACAATAGGCCTTGTTAAACAACTGAACAAAGGGAGAAACACACTAATGGATAAAGAGGAAGCCTTCCAGTCAGACAGCCTGCCCTGAAATACTTCCAGTGGCAGATTAGGGCAATCAAGAACCCCAGACACTCTGATCTATCAGGTTACACCACTCACCTGTGATATACCAAGGTCTTACAAGCTTCAGACGGACCTATTTAAAATAACTACTGAATGCTATCAATTACAAAAAAACCTCTGGCTCCTGGATTTTCTTTAGAATATGACTTCAAGTTAGTCTCTTTCTGGGCCCAGTCTCACCAGCCTTAAAATGGACTCAGTGTGTCAATTGGGAGACACTGGTGGGGATCAAATTAGAGGATGGCGGAGAAGCTGTGTCAAAAAGTAAAATGAGGGTGGGGGCTGCAGCTCAGTAGCAGAGTGCTCGCCCAGCATGTGCAAGGTCCTGTGTTCGATCCTCAGCACCAACCACATGAAAATAAAAAACAAATAAACTAAAGGCATTTCTGTCCATCTACAACTACAAAAAAAAAAATTAATTAAAATGGTTACTACACACACATTTCCATCAATGTGTTTCTTAAACATCAGTGACATGATTCAGTTGACTTTTGGCAGTGTGCTAAAGGGAAGAGGCACCCCCTTCTGAGACAGAGGAAGTCCTTGGAGTTAAGACATCACCATGCATTGGGAAAGGGATCTGTGGGTTCTGCAACTAGACCATCTTAAAAGATCCCTAGCCTTAGTCCTTTTTATACTGTCCACTAGATTTCTAGCTACTCCCTATTAAAAAAATATGTAAGCACCAGGCATGGTGGCACACAGCTGTAATCCCAACAGCTCAGGAGGCTGAGGCAGAAGGATCCAAGTTCAAAGCCAGCCTCTGCAATTTAGTGAGGTCCTAAGCAACTCAGTGAGACCCTGTCTAAAAATAAAATATAAAAAGGGATGGGGATGTGGCTCAGCATTTAAGTGTCCCTGGGTTCAATTCCTGGTACCAAATAATAATAATAACATGTAAGAAAGAAACTGACCAAATACAATTGTCTCTGGAATTTTTTTTTTTTGGGGGGGGGGCTGCTTGTGCATGCAAGGCAAGCACTCTACCAACTGAGCTATATCCCCAGCCCTCTGGGATTCATTTTTATTTTCCTTTTTTTTTTTTTATTTTCCCTGCATTTTCCTCTGCTAAAGACACTTGTTGAAAACACTTATTTGGAAAGACTATGTCCAAAAATGTAACTAAACCAAACCTTTCAATTGGGCACCACCACTATACAACTCCAGGAGGTATATTTGCATAGACGGCAGTGTAAACGGAGTCCCCTGTGGTTAGGTACCAGGTAGCTACTGTACTCCCAAAGGCTAGCTCCAACATCCCCCATACCCAATCCCCCCCTAAAGGAAAGCAAAAACTTTTATCTCCAGCCAGGTAAGGTGTGAACAAAACCACTATCCAGAATTGATCACATTCTCCTGCTCAGCTCCCTCCTGCAAGAGAATCTCAGAAATCATCTCTTTCTCTCCTCTCTTGCAACTGAAGAGAGACACTGACCACAGTGAGACAGAGCAAGCCCCCAGGATCCCACTGCAAGGACAAATGGCACAGGCAGGGGAAGTGCTCAAGGTGTTCTTTCCAAAACATTAATCATACACCATGAGCTCTTATCTGTTAAGCAGTGAGGCAGATAAACATAATCCTGAATTTATGAGATCATAAACAAGAAGTAAAACCTAACTCAAGGCACAGGTCACTAACTGGTACTAAGAAGGCTAAATTCAAAATGCAAATATCGTGGATTTAGCCAGCAGCGTTTAAAAAAATCTAGAATAAGGTGCTCAGATCTTTTTAAAACCACACTTTTGGTGTCACTTGACAAAATCACAGCATCTGACCGTACTGGCCACACAATCCCACATGAAATTCATGTGCCGGAACTGTCTTTGGGTACAGAATGCATTCTCCAGATTACCACCACCTCTTCTAACAGATTGCCTAATGAGGCTGTTCACTTGAGCACTTGCAGTTCTCTCCGCTGTCCTGTTGGGCACATTTGAGTTCATGTGACCTCATTCATAAGGACTCTGAACTTGGCCCAAATCTCAGAAACTACAAGGACACAGATTTGGCCGCATCATAGCAAAGAACTTCCTTTGGATTAAGCCATTCCAGCTGAGGCTTATACATTAGAGGTATCCAAGTGTGGGTCACAGAAATCTCCTTTTAGCAGTAGTATGCAGAAGGGATTTTAGGCCCAAGATTGTGATCGGAGAGGAACTAGACACAGGCCTGAATTTCTGGAAGACTGTGATCTTGGCCAAACTCCCCAACTCTAACCATTCTCCCATGCTACCTCATTTGTTGGGCAGAAAGCATCTAGTCTTCCAATCCCTAGGCAGCCTCATTAGGCAGATTATTAGAAAATTCTGTGAGGCCTAGACTCAGCAGGTTTATGAGCAACCTCTCTAGGTTCCAGGGTACACTACCAGATTCCCCAGCTCCACTCCCCAGCCTCAACCCCAACAGCGGATAGGCAGATGTTTCCTGCCACCTGCTGGTTATAATAGGAATAGCAAGCTTCTTTCCGGTCATTCCTGGGGAATTTCCTTTCTCCCAGATACAATGTGAAATTGATAATCTTTTGGCTCAGAGGAACTTTCAATTCCAAACCTCAGCTCCTTCCATTCTAGTGTTTAACAGATGAGAAAGGCAGAGAATAATTCATTCCTAAGATACATAGAAAGTTAATGTGGTGGTACTTCCCTACATATAAATACAGTCAGCCCGCCCAAATGTTGAGTGTACTTCAATACTCCACAAGGGCAAATTTATATTTAAATGTCACAGAGTCAGAGCTAGACCCCTTTCATGTATCGAACCTGGTAATCTGGCCAGCAAGTACTACTCTCCTTGGCCTGAAATAAGCCCTCTCCTATTGCCCTACTCATAGATGAATATTTGTTGAGAACCTATGTGTAACAGAGTTTGCCTAATTTCCTCCACTTCTGTGGTGAGGGTGTTGGACCAGGTTCATTCGTTTGACCAACATTTCCCTGGCATTTATCATGAGTCTCAGACCCTCCCGGTGCCAGGAATACAACCCCATTTAAACAAATGAACAAAAGCCAGGAAGCTAAGGCTGGTGACGATGAAGAAGTATGAGTAACCATTTATTTATTCAATCAACTTTGAGCTCATGTGCCAGGACCTGTTCACATGTGTTGAGGTTGTAGTGACCATGACAAGCTTTCCCTCTGCTTTCACAGAGCTGACAATCGAATGGGAGAGACAGACATTGGTCAAGGAGGTACAGTGGAATAAGAGCTTTTTTTTTTTTTCAATGCTGGGGGTGGAACCTAGAGCCTCTTGCATTCTAGGCAAAAAACCCCAGGAATAAGAGCTTTAAAAGTGCCGGGGAATGGGGGGCACTTTTACTGAGCACATAGCTAACCTCTCCTTGGGAGCTCAGGGAAGGCTTTTTTAAAAAAAAAAAATAAATAATATTTTTTCTTGTTATTTTTAGTTACACATGACCATAGAATGGAATGTATTTTGATATTTTACACATACATGGAGTATTACTTCCCATTCTTGTGGTTATACATGATGTGGAGTTACACTGGTCGTGTATTCATAGGTGAACATAGGAAAGTTATGTCTGGTTCATTCTATTCTTTTCTCTTCTCACCCCCCCCACTCCTCCCTTCATTCCCCTCTGTCTAATCCAATAAACTTCTGAGAAAGAAATTAGGCGAAAGAAAGAAAGAGACGGGGGATATAGCTCAGTAGCAGAGCTCTTGCCTAGAGTGCATGAGACCCTGGGGTGATTCCCAGTGCTGGAAAAAAAAAAAAAAAAAGAATGAATGAAAGAGAAAAGAAAAAGAAAAAATGAAAAGAAGAAGAAAAAAGAGGAGTCAGAGGCAAGGGTCAGGGCTAGGTTGTATTCCAGGAAAAAAGGACAACTTGAACAGAGATCCAAAGTATTTCAAATATATGGAAATACTGCAGGGTGACTGGGGCATAGAAAGTTAACTAGAGAACGCCATAGCGAGACTGGAGGTAGACAGGATCCAGGTCATCTGAGGCCTTGCTCACCATGTTAAGGATTTTCTTTTTCCTGAAGTCAATGGCAGCCCTATTAAAAAGTTCCAAGAAAAAGATAACCAATAAGATCTCTTTCATAACAATCCAGATGGGTGGGGGGGGTGGCAGGGAGGCTGGCAGCCTCCAGACTAAGCTAAAGGTTGTTGCAACAAATCCAGATGCTGGCCCATCCTAGGGTGGCACAAGTAGAGACAGAGAGGCACCGGCAAGTTCTGTATTGAATATCTTATTCTCGGTTAGCCCTGTCCTGCACAGAGACAAGCAAAAGACAGAATTCCTATCCTAAAAGCGCTCCATATCTAGGAAGGCCATGTGAGCTGATAAAACGTTCCCAGAACCACACACTGAATCAACAAACAGTTCAGCTGAAACCAAAATACTGGAGTTTCAATGCCACTGCAGAATTTTCATGGAGAGATAGCAAGGCTGGATGTGACGAGAGCAGACAAAAGTGCTTCCATGAGTCAGGCCAGGGCGAGATCACACTGACCTGGAGCAGGGACAAGCCAGTGGGATAAGGGAAACAGGCATTTTGCACAAGGGAAACAGAAATAGTCCAACAAAGCTGGCAGAGGTGCAAAGCACATGGGGGAGGGGCACCCTGAAAAGGTAAGTTGGAACCAAATGATGAACAAGATCTTCATAAAAACCCAGAGGTTACAACTTCCAGAGACGTGGGGACAGGAGGCAGGAAGAAGCTATGGCTTCCCTGGCTTGTGAAACAGGAAGGTTGAGATCTCTTGTTCTCTCCTGGGTAACAAGGGGGTGGGGACCAGGGCAAGGAAGCAACAGAGGCAAAACAGGGGATCTGTCCAAATTGTCCTCTGAACTTCAGACCAAAATCCATTACACAGCACTGAGTATTGACCCAATGAAATGTCTGAGGGTCAAAGCCTTGAAATGTAGTGAGGTAAATCTTAACCCGTCGTACAGGAAAAAGTGGAAGAACTCTGAGACTCACAGAAGGAAGGGATTTGCCAGCCCATGATGGTGCTGAGATCTAGCATGGACCTCCAGAATTTGAACCACATTCCCATCCCCTGGTTTGCACCTGTTTCTGCATGCAAGTGGCGCCCCTCTATAAGGCAGAACTCCCCAGCCAGCCAAAAAGCCTTCAGACACCTGGGAGAGTACATTGTGGGGATCAGGGAGAGCCAGATGGGCATGGTCTGGCCCCGGGGGAGTGCCTTGCAGGGAGGGTGCCCAGCCCCTGTCTTATTTTAAGTAGAGCCCCATGTTGAATCTGTTCCAGGAGGATGAGGCAGGAGAGGGCCGCTTCAACTTTGCCTATGGCATGGGCCCAGCCTGTCTGCAGGGCAAGGATGGCATTTCCGTCAAAGGCGCCAACAACAACAACACCACCAACCCGCCTCCCGCACCATCCAAGTCCCCGGAGGAGATGCGAAAACTCTTCATCCAGAGGGCCAAGAAGATCGACAAAATATCCCGCATTGGCTTCCCCATGGCCTTCCTCATCTTCAACATGTTCTATTGGATCATCTACAAGATTGTCCGCAGAGAGGACGTCCACAACCAGTGAAGGGCTGGGATGTGGGGGGATGCTGGGGGAGGCTGGGACAGGGCAGTGGGGAAGCGCACAGGAATCTGGGAGCCTAAGGAAGAGAGGGGAAGAGGGAGGGGCACATACACAACTCTTGACTCCCTCTCTCTCTGCAATATGTGCAATAGCAAAATGCACTAATGCATGAATTCTAGAATGTGGCACTATCTATTTAACCTGGGGTGGGTTGGTGGGGATGGGGCGGGTGGGACTTTTCTAATATAGGAACCAACAGAGGGCCAGGGAGGCAGGGTAGGGCATAGGTGGGGATGGGGAGTTGGGGAATAACAACTTTTAAAATTTGAGTCCGCGGACTGTGCAGTTTTCCTATTTGGAAGGAGAGTACAGTCTGCCCCAGAGCAGAAGGAAAGCAATGTAATATATGATATATATTCATGCTTAATATTAATGCAAAACCACAAGAACAAAAGATTTGTTTCTTAACCTATCAGCCTAGTAACTGCTTAAATTTTTAAAGTCACAGAAGTGATGGACAATTTTTCCCAAAGTGGAAACAGTCACAAAATAAGCTTGCTCTGGCATGTGTCCCACATCCTACCCCTCCAAATGCCATATCTGTCTTCAAACTGGCCCATGTGGACACATGCCAAAAAGCCATTCCACCTCTGCTTCAAGAGGGTTGTACACATGGGCATGGGTAGTGGAGATGGGGAAAGGTGGACAGAGGAGAAGAGAGTGACTAAAGTTCAGAGGCCTGAGGATTGGGAATCAAGTGACCCCACCTCAATCCCCATGTCTCGAGTTGAGGGACCACACTCATTCTTCCGTAAGCCCTCTCGCTTCTGTGTTTCAACACCTACCCCCACTAATCCTCCACCAGTACCCGGAAATGGCCGCCATGGTTTTCTCATTATATTGCCAATATGCAATCTTTTTTATGGTTAAAAAAAGTAATAATCTCAAGAAGTAATATGCAGATAGACTGAGTATAAACAGATGTACTTTTTTCAAATGTCTATTTTTTTGGAGAGTCTCTTTGGAATTGCAAATGGGTGCATGTTGGGGAAGGTGGGGGCCAGTTGGATGAAAAAGATTTATTATCTAGTGGATCTACAGAGTAAAGTTTTAAGAGGTGAAAGGGAAGTACTGAGGCTGCTGTGGATTAGGTATAAGAGAGAATAATATGTAGAAAGTCTGTTCATTATATTTTGACATTTCATGTATCATAGATAATGTGAGAAGTTTGGGGGGATGGCCCCATTATATTTTTATAAGTCTTTTTTTTCTTTTCTTTTAGGTGCTTTGTTTAGCTTTAACATTTGGGAAAGTTAGATGAATATTTCTCTTTCCTCCTAACTCTGAAGTGCCAGAATTTTCCTAGGATAGTTAGGGCACTCCAGAGAAAAGAGAGAAGGAGTAGGAGATGACTTGGGGGTTGGGGGGGCTGGAGAGTGCTGATGAAGGACAAGGACATTCAGATGGGAGGTCTGCAATGCAGAAACAGCAGGACTCCGTCCCCTCTGTCATTACCACTATGCCTGAAATGATGGCACCATTGTCTACAACAGTTTCCCTGCTTGGGCGCATGGCCCTAATACTGCAGTTCCATTTCTTACTTTGTACCTTCCTGTGCTGACTTCTGATCAAAGTTGTAGGCAGCATGGCGAGAGATGGCTGACAATCAGTGTGTCCTGACGCTTTGGGGTTTTGCTTGTGTCTGTAGAGCAACCCCAAGATGGAGCAGATGGAAGAGGAGCGGTGCCTACCTGCTCCCTAAAGCACCTTCCCCCAGGGAATTACCTCCCCTTTTCTGTGGCACAATTGTTAATGCCTATATAGGCTTAAAAAAAAAATCAGGCCAAGATGAAGAACTTGAGTGATTTAGATAAAGAAAATGCATTATGTGTCCCAAAAAAGTACTGGCTTTGAGGCTTTGGTGTTTGCATCCAAGCCCAAGATCAATTGATTGTTGCCTTCCGTTCTCTTGGCCTGTGTAGACCAAAGAGGTTAACTATAACCCAGCTGTGGATAATGTGAGATAGAACCTGGAGTCCTTTTTTTTTTTTTTCCCTAAGAAATCTTGAGTGGTGGCAGCTGAGTTGCGTGGGAATCTTTCATCTAAGACCATCTTTTCCCCACCACAAATATGTGTCCAAAAGAGGAAAAGTCAAAGAGGACTTGAGCAACTATTACCAGTTCAGGGCTAGTGGTCTCTGAACTGCTATGAGCCTTTTTTCATGAGCACTGTATTCACTTTACTTAGGTAAAGATTATTTTTAATTAAAATAAGTAAATAATAAACAGTGATGCCCTTCTCCCCACTTTACTCCTTACTGGACTAAATTCAGGAAGTCTGCAGTAGAGGTGAATGAGGCAGCAAAGGCACAAGGTCTCTGTCAGAGATTAAAGACAATATCAATCCTTCTAAGAAAGTCTTCCTACACACACTCACAGTCAGCGGACTCTACCATCTGAGCACAGAACAAAGGCCAGAGAAATGCAAGAAAATAAATTTCAATTGTTCAAGAAAAATAAAAACAACCCCTGCAGGTTCCAAACTGGCCTTCTCAAAGGCAATATCCAAAATCCCACTGACACAGGAATCCCCTGGGCATTTGCCCAACCTCTGCTGGGTCCCTGGCTTCTGTCACCATACTGCCATATTTAACAAGTGGGGCCATTGGGAGCTGCCAAGACTTGGGGACAGTATCCAGCAATCAAGGAAATCAGCTCTCTGGGAAACAGGAGGGTGATGTCCCTAAAATCTTCTCTCAGATTATTTCAAACTTACTATTCCTTGTAGAGATTTGATGTGAAAGGAGAGTTCTACAAGCAGTGAAAAGAACCTGATTTTAGTCCTGCCACTAATATGCTGAGTGACCTTAGGTAAATGACTAAGCTTTAGTTTCTCTGAATACACAAAGGGGAGAGAGTGGTATAGTATCTAAACTCCACCCAGCCCTAACTGTTCTGTGAATCTGTATATAAACAGGTCTATGGGATGTTGGCCCAACTAAAAAATTTGTAATGTCACTTTGATTTTTTAACCCTCCTTGTGGGTTGTGAATACAAGTACAGGGACCCTCACAATTCTTGTTGGCTTTCTTCTCTGGAAAATTTGCAGATTGTTTTTCTTTTTGTGCCATTCTATCAAAGGTGAACAATGGTGAAAAAAGGACATCAATCATGATAAAATCAATGATTTAGGAAAGGAAGCATTTTGGAGGAGAAGACACCATTATCCATGTATAATGTAGTAAGGCTTTAGCAATACATTATGTGAATTTCATCACTATAGAAAATCAAATATTTTGGGGGTGGCCCAATGTTTTTTAGGTGGCTCCAAGCAGCAGTGCAATGCTTCTGAATTTCTTCTTCAGTTTGAGCACAGGAGATGAGAGTACAGAAGCCAAGTGGTATGGTGAATGAAAAACTGGTTTAGGTGCAATTACTGACTCACTGATTTCAAACCTTTTGCACGAACAGACTGGTATTTATACATAGTGGGAGGCTTAGATAGTGGCAGAGAGGAGTTGATGACTTCACTGGTCTCCAAAACTGAAACTAATCCCAGGAGCCAGATGGTAATATTTCACCTATTAGTTTACAATGTATTTCACTTGTTTCAAAAGCAGCCAAAATGAATGGCTGAACTCCTTTTTCCTCTTGTCCTTTCAAACACCAAGGTTCGGTTCTTGGCTAAGTATATAAAACAGGAACAAAGACAGATGTGAACAGAAACAAAAATGTCTATTTGTGTGTATGTGTAATTAATATCTGGAATTAATTCTACTTTTTGCTTGAGTCTAGAAAGACAAAGGGGGGTCAGTCATTTGACTCCTGTTATTTCTTCTTCCAAGCTGGCAATAAACAAGAAATGGATCACTTTCAGAGGTTCACCAATATTTTTCATAGGCTTATTTTTTTTATACTTGGAAAGAAACTAATGAGAGATGGTTCCTTTCCTTTAGTATATACATCTTCATGAGCATCATAAAAGAGATGGTGTTTTGTAAGGCTCCAGGATGTTAGATTGCATAGAGGAGGTTAGTGCTCTAGCCAAACTGGTACCACTCCTGATAATAATCCTTTGTGAAAATTAGATCCTTAATTGAGACATACTGAAACTGAAGGGGGTTATCATTATGCCTATAGCAACTGCCTTCTTAGAAGAAGAATCTGGCAAGCAGAGTGGTTGGTGGTGGTACAGTCTGTATCAGCTTTAGGACTGGGGTCATGATCTGAGATTTGCAGCTATTTCCCAGTCTGGCCAGAAGCCCGGACCAGGGATAATGAACAGCACTCTGGAAGCTATCATACTTACTCAGCCAGCATCTTCTGCACCTTCTACCTACCCTGCACCCCAGCTCTGAAGAGACAGGCAAGACTGTGTTTTCTCTGTGGGTTATGTTTCCTACATGACTTACTAGCTAGGTGATTTGTACTCTGAGAAGCTGCTAAGATCTGTTGAGAAAGGGTGAAAGGACCTTTACCCCATGATGTATGGAATCTTTACTTCATGAACCAACCATTTTTTTTCTAATCAGACAGACAGGAAGTACATTCTTAAAATAGAATTTGGCTTCTTTTCCTTCACTAAGCCCCTCCCCTTAGAAACCAACTCCAGAAATATTAATCAAGAAGCTTCCAATGTTCCTCCACTTCTACGAAGCCAGGAACAAGAGCTTATGTTCAAAGGGAGGAATAAAAAAAAAATATCCCTTGTTTTAGTTGAGTTGTTTGCCCTTGAGAACCACTGTATCAGCGTAAGAAAAATTATACATATTGGCAAAGCTTTGGTCTCCTGGTATCCTGAGGTCCCAATGGACAGAGGGAACATCCTTGGATAGGTTGAAATCCCTGCAGAAATAAAGAACTTTTTGAAAGCTCTAAAATGACACCTCCCCCTCCCCAATCCAACGTTAACAGAAGGGAAGCAGTGACTTGGATCTGACTATCTCAGCTGAGGATTTCAGAACTTCAATGTGGACAAGGGCACCCTACCACCATCTCCCAATCCTGAGTGCCCTCCACTCTCAAGGGCCCAGACTAGATGATACCTCTACTGAACTGTTATTCTGATGCTTCCAGAGGATTTCTTAAGCCATAGAGACAGCTTTGCACAAGATAGCTTTGCTCTTACGTGGGTGCTAGTCTGTGCCATTTAGATGGAGCTGTGTGGTTATTTAAAGC